CTATCTTTATATGATTGAATGTAGTGTTTGGCGGTGCGAAGCCACAACTGTTCCCCATCAAACTGCTCAGACACCGGCCGGTTAACACCGATGTGGTGGAATCGTAAAGCCGATATGTGAAGAAGTTAGGCGTCGCTCACATGTCGAACGCACAACTCGATGGCGACCTTCCACAGCCTGCCGCCAGAACTTCTACTTCCAATACTCACTCCGTTACCTGAGAGTAGCCTCGTACTCTGTGCATCTGTGAATCGTAATTGGAATGCGTTCGCGACTCCGCTTTTGTATAGACGCGTCGCCGTCTACAGCTGGCATTGTAATGCAAAGACCCGGGTGCGCCGGCGATTCATGTGTGCCAATCATACCAAAGCTGATGACTGCAGGCTGCATCACTTATGCGAACTCTTGCCGAGCGATCAGAAGTTGCTAGATGGGTGAAGCATATTGATGTACGGGACTTCTATCGGGACTTCGAGTTCCATTTAGCGCAAGAGGAGGACCGAGATGCTGTATTTGAACACTGCGAGCAGGGACTTGCGAACTGTGTGAACCTCGAGTCTTGTATTTGGCCGTGAGTATCTTCATCCCAATGGTCGGATATGTCGGGAGTGCTGACAGCTCCCAATCAGCCGCCATCGGACCTTAACGACCCAAATGCTCGTCGTTCTCGCCAGCTTGCCTCGACTTCAAAGGCTTGAGATCAACGCACATTCAGGCACTTACGAGCCCGCGGATCTCATTCGTGTGCGACAGATTCGAGCACTCGGGCTGACGATGCCAGACAAGGCTGCCGTCGATGTGCTGTTACGGTGGTTTATGGCGATATGTGTAGAGCGTGTGGAGGAGGAACAAGAAACAGAGATTGGTTTGCGTGAACTCAAGATCATTTGCCAGGTGAGTGTCGTTCTCAATGATGACTAGTATCATCCTGAAGGCGTGCGTGTAGTCGACAAATTATGTCGGATGCAAGCAGCTGACCACCCTTGCACCGTATCTCACGCAACTCGAGTCTTTTCATCTTCTCGGCTGTCCAAAAGCCGATCACATCGGTGTTGACACTGTTATACGTGGATGCTCTTCTAGATTGGAAGATCTCAGCCTGGAGAGCATTAGCCCCAATTTCGACTTGAAGGAGCTGGCAACGGGACTCGCACTACCAAGGCTCAAGTCACTTACGCTCACGCTACCTGCACCACCTTCACCGCACCTGAAGTTCCTCGATGCGATACTGGAATTGACCGCCGATTCTCCGCTCGTAGCTCTCACCCTCTCGCTACCCGCAACGCTCTCACCACTGTCAACGTCCTTAGTACTATACAGCCCCACTGCCGCAGCCCAAAACACCGCTCCTAAGGCTCCCAGTTATCCCGAGTTCAGCTCGTCATTCGCTCGCAGCCTTGCGACCAAACATGCACAAACGCTTAGGAAGGTCGCGATCGCCCGGTTACCAACACCGCTAGGAGCTGTAGAGATCCTTGCCACTTATTGTCCGAAGCTCGAGGTGCTCATCGTACCGGTGCACGAGTTCGATTGGGTTCGTCCAGCTCTTGTCAGACAAAACCTCGAACTGACTCGTCCCCGGTACGTAGCCGCGTCTAGGAGAAGCGATATCCGCAGCATCACTTCCCTTCCTGCGCACTCTGCACCTGTCCTATCCCACCTCTCCCCGAATTCGCGCATTTACGAAACACGAGCTCATGCCCCTTTCGGGACTCAGAGAGCTGGCGGAAACCTGTTCCTGCACGCTGGAACAGATCGGCCAACTGAGCAAGGTTTATGAGGTATATATGTACCGATTGGGGAGTAGTTTCGTGTCTGCTAACTGGGTAGTAGGTTGTGCGTCGGTGGGACCGCGAGACTGATACCACGCCAGTGGTGCTGGAACGGTGGACTGGACCGATCTTCCCTGAAGCATTCCAGGTGATTCGAGCTTGAAACAAAGTATTTGAACAGGTCAAGGAAGGAGGTACACGACGATAACTTATAATAGAATATGTGTATCGGGATAGATCAATCAGTGTAACCTAGAGCACTGGAAGCGGCTCGCCGTCTCTGTACCCTCTCTTTCATTGGCGTTTACGCTTCTGGAGCAGGTTCCGTGGTCGGAGAGTGTCCATCACAGACCGTCCTCCTCATTTGCGTTTCGCATGCACGACCCTCTGTCTTCATGAGCAGTTTATATCCTGTACACTTCTAAGCACACGTTCTCTCCCACTTGTCTACAAGGTGATATGTATCGCTGCCTCCTCATACCCTATGCAGCGTCAACGGCTCAAGTTCACTCTCTTGCCTCTCTGTCCCCCGCCTCCCTCTCCCCGGCCACCAAACGGTCAAAACATCACCCCACCCCTCGTCTCCCTCAGCCCCACTGCCGCAAGAGCACAAATCATTGTCCCCCCTCCAGCAAGATACAGCACCGCGTCCGAACCCGTGTTTGCCAGCAGGTGAGAAGCCAGGAGGGGGGAGAGGATGCTTGTCAGCCTTCCGAGGGAAGAGGCTAGCCCGACTGCTGTGCCCCGGGTCGAGGTTGGGAAGAGCTCAGGGGCGTACCCTATGCCATTGGGGTTGGTATTCTCCCTCTGCCTTGGCCTGGGAATGGAAGACGCACCATATAGCACAGCATTGAAAGCACTCTGGAAGAAATACTCCAAGGCATTAAATAGCACGTTCGCAAGCTGGCTATCGATAGCGACGAAGAGGAATAAGGACGTGGCCATCAAGGAGGAAGTGAAGACCATGCTCCATTTCCTGCCGAGGGGGAGGTCGACTAAGATTGCGCCGAGGAGGACGCCAGGGAGGCCGGAGAGGGAGATGAGGATGCTGGGAATGGTGAGTACGGGTGTGGGACAAGCAGGTTGAACAAGAGGGGAGAGACTCACTAGTTCCGATAAGTCTCATACACTCCTACATCCCTCATAGCACCTTTTTGCCTCAAGATACTAGGCAAAAAAGCACCTGCGATGCTGAATCCCCAGTCTGCTCTAGTGTATCAGTACTCACGACAGATAATAGAGTGAACCGCGGCACGTGCAAAAGAGGGTGGGGGCAGGAAGAGGGCAGAATGCGAAGATTAGAGCACGAGCACGTACAGTCAAACATGTATACAACACAAACAAGCAGCATAACCCGTGCCCTCTCTCGCGTCCCAAACAAGCTCTTCAAATTGGTCCTCAACACCCGGTTCCCCCTCATCTGAGGCTCTAACTGTTCTCCACCTCGATTGTCCGCTTCTTCCAGTTCTTCGAGTCGCAGAGAGCAGGGGACGCCGTTGTACGCAAATATAGCGTGTACGACTGCTACTGCCTCTTTGTCTTTTCCGTGAGAGAGCAGAAACCTAGGGCTTTCACGGAATCTGAACACGCCGAATCGGAGCAGGAAGCATGCGAGCGTGAGAGCTCCAAGGGTAAACAGGAGGTTTCGCCATCCAGAATTGGAGCTTCGGGTGCAGCATTCCAGTTCGGCGGCCAGGGAGGAGGCGGAGCAGGAGGGGAGTGAGGGCGCGCAAGAGTGGGGCGGGACGAGTGCCCATGCGAGGAGGGAACAGGCGACTACACCTAGTGGCTGAAAGATCGACAGGAGCATTACCAGTGCGCGGCGGTTCTACCGTAGGGTAAATACGAGCTTCTGTACTCTTATCTCGCGTGGTCTTGGATGAATAGAGAAGGGAACGTACTTTAGGAACGAACTCAAGCAGGATCGTAGCATCTATGGGTATGTTTCCCCCTAGTCCGAAGCCGCAGCAGGCGGCGAGGACGCATACAGCAGCCCAAGAATCCGCGGTGCCAATCACCAAGCCGAATACGGAGCAGATGAGTGTCTGATAGGAGTGAGCGCACGTTATTGGTGGATGGAAACGGGGTTGGACGGAAGGGAGGGAACATACTGTAAGGTTGAACGCCCATTTGCGGCCTATGACATCCACGAGGACACCCCATACGAATGCTCCCGCAGTGAGTCCAGCAGAGAAAGCGGTGAATATCTGGCCTGAATTCGCCGCTACTCCCACCTGGGTGATCAGCACCCAAGGGAAGGTTGAGGAAGGGACGTACTGGATACCCCGAACTCTTGGGTCATGGGCCCCAGTATAAGGGAGAATGCTTGTGCCCATGCTAGGTCTAGAAAGTAGCCGTACCCACAGAGGAAGAAGATTCCCCATTGGTAAGTTCCCATGCCTAGCGCATCAAGAGAGGAGGAGATGAGTGCGTATTTCTTCTCCAACGGAGAGAGGTCCTCTACAGGGGAAGAAGGGGAGGTGGGCGAAGAGGGCAGAGCGGTAACGGTGACGGTATGTGACTTTGTGGTGTCCATCTCATCGTCCTGTAGGAAAAGGTCAAGAGGTAAAGGGGATTATATGCGCTTGAGGCTTACTTCGAGAAGCGGTTGCTGTTCCTGATCGACATTAGACGCCCGTGATACGCTCCGAACAATCATTTGGATATGGGATTTGGATACCGCGGCCAGGGTATGAGTCAACTGAGAAGATGGTGGTCAAGAGAAAGGAGCGAATATGGAGATGGAGATGAACAGTCATTTAATATAGGAAATGAAGATAACGTGCGCGTCTCACTCGATACAAGGAAAGACAATTCCCCGATCGACGGAACCCGCGTCCATGTGTGGTGATGTCATATCCTTACATCGGACATGCCAAGGGAAGAGAAGCTTGAGTGTTCGATGGCCGATCATGGGCTGCCTCTCTGGGTGTTGGAGAACATACACCTCAATCATGGTTAGGTCTTGCTTGCGAGTGACGCGCGAACCGAACGGGTCTTTCACGAGCCATCTGCGCGAATCCGAACCCGTGATCAACCACGTGCGTGCTCAATTGTTCGCTCCCCTCGAAATCCTATTGTCCTCTCTTGCCCCAGTATTCGGGCAGGAATCACTCACCCTGATTTGGATTTGGACTGCGATCATTACGGGTTCCATATCTCGGAAAGTGCCGTTCGGATGTCTGCCTATTTGGACACTGGAGACTGTGCAATTTGATCGATAAGAGAAAGTGATTTGCAAACCCATTCTGTACTTGCTGTCTTGCTCCACTCCGGAATTCCACGTCTCTGATGCCTCGAGGACGAGCCCTGCTCACGCTCACTCAAGTCTCGTGCGGGCGAACTAGAACATAAAGCATACTTCCTTTTGCGGTGCTTGTTGTTCTCCCGCAATGCTTCTGCTTACTGCACCTAAACGCGAGTTTGTTAGCCTCTCAAGGCGAGCGAGGCAGTGAGCGCTGCACGGTTTATATACACACGGATGTTGCTACTCTCTGCTATCTTGGATGGTACCGGATCTCCGTCTCTAGGCTACAGTTTTGCTTACCTGCGAATACTGTGATGTTCTGTTTTGGACGTCAAGACCGGTTGACGCAGGCGGATGTCCTCGATGCGATCTACAGCGATCCGACCTCGTCAGCGGTCAACATCCTTTCGGCATACATCGAGTCCAAGCAAGCAAAAGGCAGATCCACCCAGCATATATTAGAGAAACTCTTCTCTCTCGAGGTGTGTCACCAGCGTTCACTTCGCTTATGTATGCTGAGCCTTATGGAGATCATCTGCGCGCTAGACCATACTCTGCAGCCTGCGTTTCGCTTGGCAAGAGAACGGACCGGATTGCCGACGACAAGCACGATCCGGTTGTATGCGTATGAGACGGACGATACCGATATCGCGCATTTTCAGCCTCCTGTTATCATCATCGACTCGGACGAACCGCCAGAATCTCAAGTGCGTCCGACCGCGGTGCTCTCTATGGTAGAGTCAAACCCCCGTTCCAGTGCTACCATCACCATGTCAGGCGGCTCACTCTCGTCGCCCATCACTTCGAACGTCGTCCTCGCTGCCTGGACGTATCCAGAAGCTGACAAAGCTGCTGGTGCAAAGAGCACACACTCTTGGCAAACGATCTATGAGGATGGAGGATCCCTTCGGTCTGCACCCGAGAGCGCTGCCGTTTCTCACCCATCCTCGAAGAGCTCTGGACAATCTCGACCCTTGACACGGCTCGCCTCCAGCACCTCATACAGCGCAAGCGATGGTTCTTCGGGTACGATTTATCGGACAGGTGGATCGCTCACTTCGCGCTCCTTGTCTTTGGCTGGGATGTCTAGCGCTATAGCTGTCGCCTCTTCAGTAGGGAGCGATGCGGCAGATGACATGACGTCGTCTCTTCCACCACGCCCGCCGCCCCGTAGGGCAACTGGACCAACTGTGCGGAATCATTCCAATAGTCTTCCCCTACGGCGAGCGGACAGGACACCTTATACCGGGCAGCATCAGCCTCACGATTCAGGCGCAGGTTAGCAGCATAATCCTTCGCCAGCCAATTGATACTTACACTTTCCATAGCGCGCGAAATCATACAGGTGCAAAAGCAAGTTAGGCGTCCTAAGGCCAATTCGACCAAGTCTGATTTCCCCCTTCTCGGCGTACCAGTTCTTGGCGAGCCACTTCCCCCGCCTTTTCGTCTTCCAGAACTGTTCATCGAACCACCCATACCATCGCGCAAGTCTGGTGGGCAGAAACGGAAACACCGTAAGGGGAAGTAGAAGGGGAAGCGCACAGCTGTGGGATAACTGGATTATCACATCACACCGCGTTGACTCTTTCCTGAATCGCTTTCTCATTGTTCTTCGGTACCGCGGTCTGGTCTTATTCGATGACATTGGTTCTACCCCCTTGCACACTGGGATAAAGGGGTCTCATTTAAATCCCAGAAGTACACGCATTGTGCACATCTGTCAAGTTTCATATCGTGATTCCTTTAATGCAAGGCACAAAGAATCGAAGTTTGCTGAAGGAACATTACAGAACCTGTCAACCTCTGTTGATAAATGATCTTTCTCATATCCCCCGTTGCGAGATCTACGACTTTAAGGGATCAATCAAAGCGGACTCGTTGCTGTCCTCTGCCAATCTTCGAATGAGTTTCAGGGCCCTCTTCATCCACACGGGTTATTTCTGGTGCACGGCGCCTTCCTGCCATGCATCGGTCTGACAATATCTCTTCCGTTAGCAAGCTGCATGGATCAGCGCTCTGGTCCACATCAGCGCCATCTCAGGGATGTCACTTCCGGGTTTGTGGCATTGATCGGCGCCTGTATTTCCGAACTCCGCACCCGGGATTATCTTACAGAGGTGTCCGTCATTGGTCACCGCAGTCCAATCACTGCAAGTTTCATGCTTTGTACTTGTGTATTACCCATTTATTGGGGATAGCGATGGGATTAATATTGGACGTCTTCTCGGGCGTCCGGCAGTATGCAAAGACCTCCGTTTTCGTTTCCCCCTTCTCATAGTTCACCATGTCCGTTTGCCGGACAGAAGAGGATGTCAGAGCAGTATTGGACAGCACTAAGGAGGAGGACATCGAGCCTGCCAAGCTTGCTCTCCAATCTTTTATTGAGACTTTGAGGAGCGAGGGAAGAACGGATTTGTCGGTCGCGGCAGCGGTAGAGAGATTAGAGGTAGGTCGTCCTTTTCGTATCTGGAAGTTTAACTGACAGGTCGATGTTTCTCGGTCTGTGTTTCCTCCGGAAATCGGAACGATAGGATTCATATGTCCAAACGGTCTATCTCCATGAAGCATTCTACTTAGCTCGCCTCAGTGCCTCTCTCCCAAACCGTATCGTCCTTCCCGGATTCTCGAAATGGTTGGACCAGAGAGAACAGCAAGTCGCGAACCTATGGATAGCAGCGCAGAACGGTTTCAACCACCTGGCACAGGCATGGGGCGAGGAGACCGGCAAGGTAACGCGCTTGCAACAGGAGGCCATGCGGGAGTGGACGCTGCATCGCTGGCGTCGGTTGCAGGTGGAGACGGAACGTCTGAGGGAGCTTAACAGACGTTTGGGAAAGGAATATAAGCGCTTGGGTGAGGCGTTCATTGGAGCGGAGGAGGAGGAGGCGAGAGAAGATAGTGGAGGTGGAATGAACGAGGAGCCGGAGGCTTCGCAGACCCCACCAACCACCGCTGAAGCTCCTTCAATTACCCCGGAACCTGTTTCTCCGTCAACACCAACACCACCTCGTACGCCGCGTTCGAATCCTCGATCCACGACCAGAAAACATCGCAAGCCTCCTTCCACCTCTTCCAGTTCCCATGCATCATCGTCCGCTTCGTCACGATCTGGACCTCCTCTCTTCCCTTCGTTTGGACTTCCTTGGTCGCCGTATCTTGGCCCAGGGAGAATGATGCCATCTCCTAGTGACCTGAAAGCATATGACGCACCAGATTCACCACCTCCAATTATCCAACGAGGCTATTATTCTCCATTCGCTTCACCTTATTCGCCTGTCAGTGGGCTGCCCTCCTGGCCGTCAACTTCATTGCCAACGGTTCCGGAATCAGCAACACTTTTCCAGGCATCATCTCAGTCATATTCCGGGTTTCCATATGTCTCCTCGTACGATTCAATGTACTTACCAGCACATATTGCAGGCGCAGCAAGCCCAACTTCCGTTGGAACGGTCACACTCAGTGGTCCGTCCCTTGGAGGCTCTAGTTCCGAGTCCGACTCTGTTTCTCGAATGTCAACAACGCCCAAGTTCTCCTTGCCGCGTTGGCTACGACGAAGCTCGTAGCGGTGGAGCTGAAGGTGCTATTGGAGGAGAAGTAGATGTGCTATCAGAGCACATTGGTATGTTGTTTTCGGTAAATAATCCCTATCTTCTCTTATCTACATAGTCTCATGATCTATCTCTTGTGGACGCCGACTTTACTGACAAATCCAACGCGATAAGAACTGTCTAATACAGGGAATGTCTATCATCTCGGAATCGCCAGCTGGCACGGCCAGATTCACGGGATTGTAACTCCATCAAGAAACCTCCGCTGCCTTGAGGACGCAGCAAGGAAGGTGTGGCTCACGGACAGCGGCAAGGATATATCCCGTCGGCATGCCGGTGCATCACGGTACCTCGCATTTCCTTCCCCCATGTCGGTATCTGCATAAATATCGAGACCTCTGTTACCTGCCGTTGCTGTTACTCCTCCAAGCACTACTCCTGTGAAGAAGACACGCATCGCACCACCAAAATCGGCTTGTCACCTTTAGAGCTACAACCATTGCTCTTCCCCACATACAGGAGATCACATTCTTATCGAGTACAACAATTCTCCGATGTCTGCTTACGGAGACGGACCAAAGGGAGGCATGCTCCGAATGGATACGCAAATCGAGGTCATCAGCGTCCTTTCCAATTCCCCAGACGCCAATGAGGCAACAAGAGCAATTCGCCTCTGGATCGAGTCCAAGCAGAGGAAGGGCAAGGCGGAACAAGACATCATCGTGAAACTGGAAGGGATGGAGGTGAGTTGCCTGGACCGTCTTCTCCGCAGCACTCTGACATGCCTGTAACAAAGTGTCAGTTCCTCACTTCGGATCACACGGTGCACGGTGCATTTCATGTCGCTCGACAGGAGACTGGGCTGCCGACGAGTGGTGTTTTGCCATAGTTGAGAGAGCTCGAGAGTGGACCAGTGCTGGCCCCATCCGGTTATTTCCGTTCTTGTCGTATATTCTGTCATTACTGCCTGCTTTATGACGCCCGGTCACTGTACCTCTGCTTCATTGTACCACTTATGTTGTATCGATTGCTGTAGGATGTCGTATTCTTGTTGGTGACTTGCCAGCGGTGTTTGGTTATTATCGTCGTCCCATCGGTCGAGTCAACGTGTTCGGGGACCCCGAATGTAATAAGACCCCCACAAATCGTGCACGACCTTCCCTTTGTTCTTTTGTCCAATGTCTAGGGACGGGATGCCTTCCCGTGGCAGGCAGATACACAGATACATAAATCTGCCTCCGTGTCCGGAAGCCGGAAACAAATGTGTAAGGGTCACCCCATTCCTACAGGGTGCACATCCAGAGTATGCAGATTCATAAATCTGCCTGATCACGTGAGGTTTGGTTCTGGTCGATCACACGGAGGCTGTGAGGAGTAATACATGACACATATGCATCATGTATGCATACATCTCTTGTCTCGCCCACATTCCCCCTGATATCTGCTAAATCTCTCTCACCTGCTTCACTTTGTATGATGGCTGATTCACTGATGGCTAATGCACTCAAGGGTCTTCTTCATGGATCTCTCATGGCTGAGTACATGAATGATGACATTGCCATCCAGATCATCTCATATACCAAGTTGATTGATGACAATGCTAACCTGCTGGACCCACCATTTATCTGGTATGCTGAATCCCCTATTGAGGATGCACCTTACTAATGATTTGTGCAGCCTGACAATCAGTGATGGACATGATGTCCTAAACAATTGCATGGCTGGCCAGTATCTTGTCCCCAGACTGCACCACAGTGAGTTCAAGAACCTGGACATGGTCCACATTTGGGGGGTACACAGATGGGTGGCCAACGGTCAGTAAGCATGTTAACTTAGACTGTGCAGCCTCAACTTTGCTGACTTCTTACAAAGATATGACTTATCCTCACTGACCTAATGAGATGGCATTTCCCTGACCACCTCATCAACATGCCCTCCATCATACTAGGTTGGCAGGATGTTAACAACCCTTACTCCGGTTACCTGCACTCTTTGGACTTGGTCACCAAGCCAGAAGAGATGGCACCAGCAAATCACCTTCTTGTGCAGGCTGCACATCATGCTGCTTCCAGCAGGATGGTCTTCACCATTGTTGGCATGGGCCAGGTTCCCCCTGAGTTGGTGGCCCCACATGCACCTGTGGTGGCACAGCCTGTGCCCCCTTCCCAGACTGAAATTGATCAGCTCTTCCCAATCTCTGCACCATTGGGTCCTGCAAGCATGCAGCACTATGATGCCAATCCAACTTTCCTCCCAAGTGCCCTGCCTCAGCTGCCAGTGCAGCCTTTTGCCCCTCCTGCTTTAGGCACTGTACTGGTCTTCATGAATGTCAACACCATTGTTGCATTTATGAAAGGGTGAGTCCTTCTTTCATGAGGCTGTGCTTTCTGCCCATGGTGCAGCCTGAACATGTGCATGTGCATCACTCATGTCAAGCTGAAGGACCATGGCACCATCAACATACTCTGCCATGATGGGACAGGGGAAATCGACCTGGTTGTGTGGAGGGCATATGCACTTCAAGCTGGGAATGTGGAAGAAGGGAAGGTGAGTTGTTCCTTCATATGAGCTTGTTTCTCACTAACCAGACTGCGCAGACTTATGGAATCTATAATGTTGCAGCAATCACCTCTGTTTAGCACTGGTGCTGGTCTTTTCACCCTGTGCAGCTGGAGTTCAATGACAGGAACAGTGAGTTCTCAGATGTAACTCAATGACTGAACATATGGGCTTTCAGATATGCAGTCTAACTTTGCACAGATCACTGATGATGGCTCAATTCCCCTCTACTTCTTCAACTATCAGCCAATCGTTCAGCTCCCTAGCCTCCCAGACAAGAAGATCATCAGTAAGTCTTCTTCCTTAGGTTGTGCAGCCTCCTTGATAATGGTTTCTCAGACATGCTGTGCATCATTGCTAACACCAGCAATGTGATGCATGGCAGGGCTCCCAGGTGGGCCAGCTTCATGAACTTTCCAAGGCTGCACAACCTCTGCATTTGCTAACACAGATACAGGGTCATGTGTCTGCTGCTCCCACAACCAGGATTGACATGTGGTTGGTCAACAACACAGGACACTCTGTTAGGCTTGTTGCCTTCAATGAGTTCTGGTTGGAGCTAGAGGTGCTCCTGAGGAATGTGGCCATTGACCACACCTATGGTTTGTCCCTCAAGACAGTCGCTGGATACACAAAGGTTTTTTCGACCATGTCCTCATTCCTGGGTTTGTTAACCTGACCGCCTGGTAAGCAGGCAGCCTTACTACCCAGTCTGTGCATCCTGATGATTTGCAGGTGGGAGGCTGCCCAAAATGACCCTGCGCAATGACACCTTCTCAGTGCCTCCTGCAGTGCAGATGGTGGGGTTGCCTTGGCTTTGCACAGCCTGACCACCACCCCAAGAATTCTCAGCATTTCTCAAGTTCAAATGGAACGCCTTGATCAGGCTGCAAAGGCCACAACTTTTTGCATAGCTGGCATGATCAACATCAACAAGCAGTGCTCAGTCACTTATGCAGGCTGTGCGACTCCGGATTGCAACCACAAGGTCCACCAAAGCTACCTCAATCCCAATGACTTGCATTATCACTGCCCAACCTGCAAGCAAAGCATTTTGGTGCCAGTTGCTAAGTAAGTCTCAGGTATTGTTTGCAGGCTGTGCATTGATATCCCTCATGCTACAGATACTGTCTCATGGTTACAATAATTGATATGCAGGGTGATCATGCTTCAGCAACAGCTTTCAACATGGCAGCCACTGCCCTCCTTTGCATCAATGCCGGGTCTATGTTTGATGTGTTTGCCAATGAGGTGAGCTTCTTGCTTTCCAGCCTGTGCAGCCTGCCTCACCTCCCCTTCAGCATCGTTACAAACCTGTGCATGCCTTCAACCTGACTCAAGCCATGGAAGGTAGGTACACAATGACAGTCAGGGGGTCCACACCATCCACAGGCTATTGGAAGGGTAGGACACAGTGAATTGTAATGGAGTTTTTCAAGATGGGTCATACATATGACCCTGTCAGGGCACCAGCTCATTGCTTGGTCAAGAGACATGACTAAGCCTTTATGACATGGAAGTAGCTGGTATACCTTGGCATGTGCTGGAACCTGCTGGAAGGATTGGATGGTCAGGTGACCTGCTGTGCATGGCTGTGCATGACCTCATATGACCTCATCCTTGGTCATATGACCTGATCACCTGACTAGGCTGAGTAAGCAAGATGTTCTAGCAGGTTCCACCACAGAGGTATAAATATAAGGCCTACTCTGCTTGGGACTGTCTCTTCAGACTTGGTCTCTTAGGATCATCCACAGGTA